AAGTGGGCTCGCTTGGAACGAGGGGGAGACAGTGTAATAACACCTCAATTGGAATAGACGGTTGTGATTTACTTTGCTGCGAACGAGGCTACAGGAGCGAAATCGAACAAGTGACTGAGAGATGTAGCTGCACGTTCCATTGGTGCTGTCAGGTCAAATGTGAGACTTGTGTCACACAGCGAACGGTGCATACGTGTTTGTGAATAGTTGTAGTAAACTATAGAAAGCACAAGTAAACATAAACGGCTATGCAGAGAGCGTGAGATGTCGTGTATATGTGTGGAATCCAAGTATCCATTGCAAACCCCCATCATGCATTGCGATGGTACTGACAGAATTCCTCCAGGCGTTCAGATCGGCTTAATATAACAGAAACAGTTTCCTTCATTTCTAGAAAGGATCTAACGAAGCAAGTAACAACAGTATATTTTTAAATATATATAAACCTAATGTTCGGAGCAAAGATTAAATATATTGAGTTGAGCTGCCGCTCATATGTTAGCATATGCATTCAGATGGGAAAGCAAACTTCAGTTGTAATGTCCTGTATGGCTTCACAGTTAGTGTGATCACTTCTGGAGAGTGCCCCATAATCGGACCAGACAATTATATATAAGATACAAAGTTATGGGTCACATGCGCAAAATCTGAGATGTTTTTTTTTTTTACTGATCGGAGAGGGAAACATGATTGCACATCCTCGAATTGTTGTTCAGAGGGCATGTCAATTAATGCTGGGGTACCAACTGGTCGGTCAATCATTCTACCTTTGATTGATAAGCACCAATATTTCTCTGGAACTTTGTTAGTACCTGCGATTTTAATTGATGAATTCATCCGATTTTGGTCAATATGTAAGTAAAAAAAATAGTTCTATCTCAATAGCTAGTTACATGGTTGCATGAGAATCAACAAGTCGAACGTTAGCAATAGAACTGTTGACATTAGAAATGGTTATTTACAAAAAGCTGTTACAATTTGCATTCTATGCTTTGGCGTTCATTTGTGTAAAATACGTCAAGATCTTAATATGTATATTTTTTGGTATTTGCTATCTATATTCAGTGTAGAAGATGGCATATATTCGTATGTATGCTCCTTGATCAACTTTGGCTAGTCCTAATAAATATTCATGAAGTGTGCTATACATGGCTTTGGCTAGTCTAATGAATATTCATGAAGTGTGCTTTATATGGCTTTGGCTAGTCCTAATGAATATTCATGAGTGTGCTTTATATGGTCATTCTTGTGATAGGAACTTGAATTATACATACATATTCACAAGGATTCAGTTTTTTTTATTTTTGTGGCTGATATATGTTTATAATGCTAATATCGTTTAATGAATATTCATTTTAATTAATATTTATAAATATGAAAATGTAGTATGCTCGTCACATTGAAAGGTTGACGTCATTCCCCTCACGGGGTATTCCTGTATCTAAGCTTTCATAGCCACTGAGACTCATGTTTGTATATAAAATTATGAAAATGACAGTTAGATGCTATGTTGTTGCTTTTATTCATTTTGCAATGTAGTGACATATTGTTTGTTTAAAAGAATATTAGTGGTTGGTCCTCCATGATGCAGTGCGACTACTCACAATGCACAACGACTTCCCACAATGCACCGCAGCTAACTATGACCATTTGGAACAACGCCATCGCTATTCTGGGTTGGGAACCTAAACCATTAACAAAATTCGGGTAAACCAGTTTATTCATGATGTTGGGAATCAATTACAAAAATGAAAGTGAAAATAATTCCTAGCGTTCAAAAACAACTTTTCGAATTATATCAGACTGATTGCTGTTTTGTGGTATGTTTGAACGTCTGTAAAAACATGTACGCCGTTCGACATGCTCATTTGCAGGGGCCTAATGATGACGTCATGTGCTCATTGATGGTTAGGGGAACCTTACCCGTGAATTTCGTTGAGAGCTCTGCGAAATTTGATCTTGAATTAAATCAGCATGGAGGAAACTGTTTTTTATTTGGTGCATAGCACAAACACATCGTCTATTTACTAATAAGCTCCATAAACTACCCTTCTGAATCCAACATTCAATCCAAAATGGTGTCCAATGTCACGTGATATCTAATCTGATCAATGCATGAACGACGTCCATCACGTTGTGTCGTACTTTTTTTTCGATTTTCGACTGAACATTTGACCGCCTATGATAGTTGACATTTTTTGCAGTAAATATACAATCACTCCGTTTAAATAAATGTTAGCTTGAAGGTGTCAACTATCAATATATATAATTCTTTTAAATCATAAATAAGTAGCACGTGTTATGGACACTCACGTTACGTCATGCATTCATTAGATCAACAGTCGTGTGATTGGTTGTTTAAAAAAACACATTCAAAATGGTTGAAAAAAACCACAACACAAACAATTTTAAAATTCTTTTGCAATTGCAAACATGATCTTGACAACTTGCAATTGTCAAAATTGATAACTTCGTTTTGTTTAAAATTAATTTCAAATATATATTTATTAAATTTGATACAGTTGAAGAGACATTTGACATGTTAGGGCGGCGGCCATATTGGGTGATGCATTCTGGGAAGTTATTGCATACTGCTATTCTCTGTGGCGTTATCAAGTTCCATATTGGATTTCTTTCAAACGTTTCCAAATCAGACAATAAAAGAAATGAAACAAAAATGATTATCCGGTTGATTTATTTGAAATAATGTATGGTTTTCAACTAATATTATGGGAATGAACACCAATAAATGTGTTCATTTTGCAATGCAGTATACTCAAGCCAATACGAAGATAATATTGATTCAAGTCACACTCGGACCTCCAGTCTATTTTTTGTGAAAATGTACTTACATGCTATACCACAATGTGTTCTATGTAGCTTTTCAGACTGGCTAATATTTTTAAACACAGAGTTGTTACTGTTACCTAACTTTTTTATGTGGCTTATGACAAACTTTCTGAAAATTTTGAGTAGGACTTCTACCTCAAATTAGATTAAGACCATGTATAATCTCTAGACAACGATGGCCCAACTGATAATACAATAATTTGATTTAGTAAAATGTTCCGAATGTTAGGAATTTGGACAAAAAATGGCAAAGAGACGAAAAATGACCATAATCATATCGTTGGTCCGAGGATCGTCTACGCAATAGACTATTGTGGAGATGGCGCGCAAGGTAACCTCTTAACGAGATTGTCTTGAACAGTGTTCTCCAGAGAAGATAGTACGAAAGTGGAAGCACGAATCTCAAACAAAAAATACTACTTTAGGATTCGACTATTTGAAATCCGAGGGTAGCCGGGAGATTTCTTTACAAAAAATATGCACGCTAGACATAGAGAGAGAAAATGCATGCAAATTGTTACAGGGAAAAGTTGGTTTTGCCCCGGCCACACTCTTTATGCCACCCGCCATAATTTCAAATGTTTGACCCCTTATGTTAAGTTTATCCATTGCAGGTACAACTTCCCGCTAACCAAGTTGTTCATAAAAACTGAGAACTATAAATACTGAGAACATCTATAATAATTTACGTAATTGAATTTAGTGTAACCTTATACAGTCAGAACGCAACACCACATCCCGCAAGTCCCGCGAAGGGAAATATTGTATTAACCTTAGAACTGTCACCAAAATTGTTCTTCATTTGTTTATTAATTTTGTCCAAAATTGACACAATTTTCCACTGGCTTAGTATTCAATTCTCCAGTCTTAGTATTCGAACGGTGATTCAAGTTGCCTTACGCGTCCAAGGGTCAATGACATTCGGACAGTAACGTCATACAAACAATAATAGTAGTTCAATTACCCAGAGAACAGCTAAAAGGAACGGTGGGCGTTAACTGGAAAATGTTTTGACAAATTTATGAAAATAAATTATTTCTGTGTTTTCATTTGTTTCTATGGTGAAAGTAAAATTGCTCTTTGACTGAGAAAACAGTTACATAGGTACCAATCTTAATATTGTAGTAAAATTACATATTTTCTGAAAAAATGGCATTTATTTTAGTTACTTTTTTCAAATGGAGTTTTTTTCCTCGATATTCAGTGTAATTTTCCCTCCCATAATAATTATACCCGGTAACATGCTCAGAAGTGTATTATTTG